TTGCAGATCCTCAGTTTCTTAGTGGGGTGAATGTGGTCTATCAGTGCTCGATGTCTGGAGCACGTATTGCAGACCAAAAAGCCACATTTTCTGCAGTGGTGTCTACGGTTGGTCGCGGTGAACTTTTTGAGGCAGCGCATGCATTTGTAGGCGGCCTGGTCTGGGATCCAGGAATTGGCAAAGTTGGACCCGGGTTGGAGGCCGCCTCCCTGCAGCAGGCTTGTCCGACATTCTTCGATGTGCTCAATCCAGGCCCGCTTCTCCTCGTATGAAGGGGCAGACACAAAAAAGGACTTGCGTGGTGTACGGATCAGCCATTGGTTCTTCAGTTTCTCACTGTCCTCCATGTCCTCTAGCTTGATGTCCTCTGAAACCACAGTGCAGATGGAATGTTGATAACAATGCAGAAAGTACAACATTTCAACATTTCTGTGTTTTATGTGGTTCATGAACAGCTCTTCCACTACTTTTTGTACTATAGGCATAAATAGAGGTATGGCTGTTATATCCACAATTGGAAGTGAGTGAGCGCATCAAAAAAAATGTGTTCTGACTTGCTCTTTGTGTTACTCAGCAATATAAATTATTTTGGTTTTATAGAGTTTTTTGGAGATATCTGCCTCTTAACCAATAGCAGCTGCATCAATGCAATGGAGATAGATGGAATTTCATTTTGTGGCATTCAAAGCATTAAAAAATTACATTTAACAAAATCAAAAGTATTTTTTTTTTTTTTTTCCAGAAATAATATCCTGATTTTGTTAAGATAACCTACAGATAGGCTGGAACTATTCAAAGTTTCAGTCGCTGTAATAAATCATGTACAGTAGGGCAAAGTAATCCAGCACTATAGCAATGACAAATACATCAGTTTGTCATATTGTTATAGAGTTTGAAGTGATACAGATGCTAGTTTGATCATTATCTTTCCCATCAAAGGACATTTTCTGTCTGGCTGTTTTATTCATCCACAGTAGAAGCAGATGAGTTGCTTACCCAAAGGGATGATCTTTTGTTTTTTGTACCAGCGGCCGTTCAGAATGATGCTGCCATACACCAGCACATCGTTGAAGAGGAAGAAAACCTTAGGCTCAGGCCTCCGACGACCCTGCTTTATCAGACGGCCCTCTCCCATCAAAATCCGACCTGGTTTGGATAGGGGACTCCCTGATGGACCAAATGAATTCTCCACCGCCTGCATACGCTCACAGTTCTCCTTATCAAATGTTAAAATGTCCATCATGGTGACCTTACATCTGTTGTAGCTCTGAGAACAAAGTGCCAGCTTGCTCCTTTTAAAGCCTGTTGTCCTGGTGACGCCACAGGACTTCCCAGACTGCAGACAAACACGTTATACAAGAAATAAAAGCGAGGGAGAGGAGTGGGGCTGCATGCATTTGAAGTTAAAAGATTGCTTAAATTCTGAGCAACTACTGACATGACAGACAAAATAAAGTACTTTGAGGTATTTGTACTTACATTTTATACTGCTTTATACTTCCACTGTACTACATTTTATTGTATTTGTTTTAAAGTTTACATCTCTTTAACAGACACAGTTGCCAGTTTACTTTTTAGAAAATGATTTTAAAGCTGATCATATCAGCTTGTAAAATACAATACATTGTTATAGATTAAACACCCAGCAATATATGAAACCATTCAAGTGAGCTACACCTCAATTGATTACAACAAATTATAACTTTCATGTAATGCTTCAAAAATAATGATAATTTATAATAATAATAACAGCTATCAGGCTCTTGTGATACTTTGTGAAGTTTGTTGTGTTGCCTATACTTATATATATATACATATATATATATATATATATATATATATATATATATATATATATATATATATATATAATATATAAGTAACATTTTAAATGCAACACTTATCACATACTATTGCATGGCACATCAAATATGAAATTGTATTGAAACAAGACAGAGATGTTACAGCCATAAATGCTAACGTTACTATGCAAACATGTTAATGGTAAGGGGTTATAATGTTTGAATCCTAAAATAATTATACAATAAATTCAATAAGAAACGCAAATGTCAGTTCTTTAAAGTATATTTTATAGTCAATGTTGCTGTTTTCAGTGCAATCATCAGCTGCCATAAACTGTCAGCTGCAGTTGTTTCCCTGCCACCAAATCTGACAAAGACCCTCAGTGAAGCACAAGCTCATGTTTCTCACTAAAGTGCAACATCAAAAAGATGAAGTTCAATGCAACTTCAATGCTGTCTTAATGCAAATGCATAATGACAAAAGATTGGTTTGCCATGGATTTAGTGATAGATTATTTCTTTATTTTTATTTTATTTTTAAATTAGAGTTTTTCTTAATAAATCTGACACTGATTATGGAGCGCTGTACTGTACCTATTTATATCGGCAGTTCTCTTCTACCAAAAATGTTTTGCTCTGGTCAGGGAGAACATGGCTGAAAAAATATTTCAAAGGGCTACATTAATGAAAAAAGTTTAAGAAACACTGTCTTTTACATTAAACTTTGGAACCATTTAAATAGGTGTGACAAAATCTGAAATTTGGTATATAATTTGGATGAAACAACATGTAGCAGCAATCTAAAATAAAATGCATCCCAAGAGACTGAAACACTACATAAAGAGTAATACTGATTCCACAACAGTCGGTGTTTTAAAATGCCACATTGTTTCGTGGGACTGGTTGAGCAGCTCAACTCTGACAAAGAAGTAAAAAGTAAAAAGTAAACAACCTTTCATAAAAGTGCGTCATTCATGTACCACATTCTCACAGACATTCTTAAGTGTCTGTTCAGCTTTATTAATAAGCCTTTCTCCATTGGTTAACACTGTAAGAGTCAGATACAAACAGCATGCCTGCAGGCATTGAATCAAATTCCCGGTCAACAGTGATCCTATTATAAAAACAATGTGTGACAGGTAAAATGCAAGGGGAACTCCAAGGGGAAACACAAAACGTATTACTTCTTAATTTGGACAAAATAAATGCTTGTAGGCGGTGAGATCTCAGATTGTCTGATACTGCGGGACTTATGTTTGGAAACCACCTCCAGAGTCAAACTAAAAAAGTTAAACGAATAATTTGACATTTTGGGAAATAGCATTTTTTACTTTCCAGCTGAGCGTTAGATGAAAAGAACGGTGCACTGACGTTTTAACACAGATTAAACCAATGGCATAAAACATGTTAATGAGATCGAGAGCTGGTGATTTCGTTAGGTTTGGACAGAGCCAGGTGGCTGATTCCAGTCTTTATGCTAAGCTAAGCTAACCGGCTCCTGGCCGTAGCTTCTTATTAACCATACAGACATGAGAGTGGTGTCAATCAAACGGAGCTTTATTTCATAGAGAAAAGAGAAAAAATGTCTCATTAGTTTATGTTTCTGTGACATTCGTCTTGGTAATCTTATCTCTCTTTCGCTGGTATCTCTGCAACAAAGTAGTTTCAGCTGTGATAAAGTACATGATAGACTTGTCTGACTAGATACTGTGATATCGAGAACAAGCTGGCACACAGCCTTGCTGAAACAAAAACAGAAGCTGTGTCATGAAAAAAAACAAAACCCCATTTCTCTCTGAATGTCAGGCAGAGGCTTGTTTGTTGTTGGATGATGTATTACAGGATTTTTACAGCAATTCCTTTTGTGTTTACAGTATATATCTAAGTGTAATGTTTAGAGAAAATGAATAAGCCAAACTTAGCTTTCAGTCTCTGGTTTACATGTTGAGTCAATTACCTTGTGTCAGAAGTACTGCTAGAGAAATTGTGTTTGCTCTAAAGTCATCATTTACCAGCTGTTATAACGCTGGTTTGATCAGAGAGAGTGAGTTTTGTCTACGTCAGAGAAATATGAAAGTCTGAAAACATGGAAATATAATACTCTTGTGCCCTGAATCATACGTTTATCTCTTTTATCTTGAAACTTAATCCTGAAACTTGGCATTTGGCTTTAGCTGAGAATTTATATTCTTCCTCTTCCAAAAAGTTGAACTATCCATGAGCAAAAACCTTGTGAGTATTTTTGTTGAGGAAGAGGAAGAAAACAAATTCTCAGATTATGTGAGCTGTGTGATTTGGGTAAAGGTAAAAGTGAGTATCATTTTCTTTTGTATTGCACACACTGATGTTCTCAGTTTGATAACTCACAAAAGCCTAGGAAAGAAGGAAGGATATACTGTTTAATTTGTATTTAACCTCTATTTTAGTGTGTTGGTGCTTACACCACCAGGGCCAAGCAGCAATACTGGGTCAAAAAGCACTCTTTTCAAACATCATGAAAAGCATCCTACAGTATAATTTTATAATTCAGTAATCAAACCATAGATGCCACACCTAAAAATGTATTTCCAACCCCAGCTGCCACCCCAATTTGGCATCAAATGCTGTCAAATTCAACCTATGTAGATCTATTTTTTTTTTTAAATGAGTTAAAATTGACATTAATTTGGTGCTCTGTTGTTTCCAATAAAAACATATACGTAGCCTATATATAAATGATCAACTTAGCTTGTACAAAAAAAAAGCAATTCCAGCTCTTCATTCTGTCCATGGTTTGATGGTTGCTTCCCTTTTTAAAAGCAATAGATCCAGATGCCCATCTCACTTCGGACAATTCATTTTCTCAGTGCCTTGATGTGGAGACTAGAAAGAGTGTGGCTGTGTTTCAGAAAATGGATCTCTCTCATGCCTTGTTGTAAGCACAAACAAGACAATGAGGAGGAAGCAAATCTTTTAGATCCACTTTATCCCAAACTCTTTATCAAATGAGCAAATTGTGGTATTGTACTCTGGATTGGATCTGCATTATGTGAATAATGGTGTCTTGTAAGTCTATAGCTGTATGCATGGCACAAATATAAAACTCATTCATTGTGACTCCTGGACATCTAGTGGCCACAGCTTGTCAAAGCAGTAAGTTAGAAAATATCACTTTATCCAGGATCCCAGATGAGACTTATGTAGGGCAAACACACGGAAGAGTTTTATTTATCTTTATTTCATTTCATCACACTACTCTACAAGAGAAATGATAAAATTATAGAGACCATTCTGTGGGTTTATGCAGGATGGGAAATAAATGCATTCCTCCTGTACTTTCACTCATCTGCTTGAATCTTTATCTCCACATCTCTCACTTTAAAATTTTCTGGCACACTTTTGGAAATGTTTTTCATGCTTTTTGGCTTAACTACAAAGAAAAAAAAGTAGAACCTCAAAGGTGAGCGTTCTAATTTAAAAACAAAACACAGTTGTGATGAGCCATGTGTGGTTTGGCTTTTAGTAGGGGATTGGTCCATAGTAGGCGGTGTAGGCGGCAATGATTCCCTGCGTGTCCATCATGTCCTCACAAGCCAGGTTGGCCTCACACACCTCTCTCAGGCTGAGTGGAGAGAGAGAGAGAGAGAGAGAGAGAGAGAGAGAGAGAGAGAGAGAGAGAGAGAGAGAGAGAGAGAGGGATGATTGAAGGGAGGCAGCACATACGGTAGATGTTCACATGGTACTTCACATGTACGCCCACAGTCCTGTGAGATGAACTCAAATACCCTTTCGTCATGTTCCAAATGTGATCTGATTTTAAACTGCGTGTTATTTAATACTACTGACCATATAAGTCAATGGGACATTATTAGAATATCTTTTCATACAGTTCAGCTGTCAGTGTTTTGGTTTGTTTAACTTTACCTTACTACTACACGTGGTTCAAGCTGGATGTTTTAATCATTTATACATTTTTAATGAACGTTTTTGCCAGTTTATATGTTACTATTTGCTATTTTGACCATTGCTTTTAACTAACTATTTAGACTTCTCTGCTCGCTTACTAACTAGTTTTCATGCACTTTCAATAGTGGTGGTTTCACAGCTGACTCAAAATGTTAAATTATGAAGTGCCACCCCATTATCCTTCCCTCTTCCCCTCAGGCTGTCTTTCAGAGGCTGTAGCAGGCTCTCTTTCAAAGAGAAAGAGTGAAGATACTAGATTTTGGCGATGGACAAACTGGCATGGCTATTTCTGACCGCATAATATCTGAATGAAAATGGGTTCTATGGGCACCCACGAGTCTCCCCTTTACACGCTATGCTAATCTCATGCAGTTAAAACCGTGCAGTTTTTTGCGTGTGCTATAAATGCTATTTCCATCTAGTGTATCTGTATATTTCTGAACACTGGGGTCTGGGGTTGCATTCTTCATGCCATCACTGCAGAAATCAGTGCCACTCTTCCAGTCAGTCCCAGTCAAAAGAGCCCCTGCTGCAGAAGTACCCCAGGTTGGGAATCACTGATCTAATTTTTGGCATATTGGATTTGATGTGAGAGCTTGCTTACCTACTGCTTTGTATTCCTATCATGTGAAAGTAGATGAGGTGTAAAATACCTCTCCAGCTGTGTCAGGGATAAGTCTCCAGCAGCTCTCTTCTGTCTCACCACGGTGGAGGCCTGCTCCCTCTCCACAAACAAACCTGCACATTCAACACAATTTCGTCTTATTGTATAAAATATATAAGATGTCTATCCTTGAACCAAAATCAAATGTATGTAGAAGCTTTGACTTATAGATAGCAAGTAAGCGGAAATGTTTTTCTCCAGATGTTGCAAGTAAAATATGGATCAATATTTGTGCAGTGTGCAGATGAGTTTTAATTTTCATTATTCTAAATATATCTAACAAATCAGACTAGTATTAAACAAAATGTCAAACTGATAACCAGTTTATTAGTTTTGTAGCCAAACTGTTGATTCATTGAGTTCAGCTTTCACATTTGAGTCAAACTGACTCAAATATGTTACAAATCAATGTAATATTGATGATACAGTCAAAAATCATGATCTTACCCTCCTGAGCAAGGTTGTCACTGGCAGGCTGGGAGCCAGCGGAGGCATCTGTCAAACATTAGGGAAAAAATATGAATAATAAATTTAAAAAAAAATGTAATTGGTAAAAGTCAGTAAAAACTAAATAAGTTGATCTTTTGTAGCAGTAGCTTTTAAACTTTGTTTGCATACTTGAAATTATGCACTAATATACAGTAGTTTAAAAAAAGAGATTTTGTGGCTCTTACCTGAAGTCAGACAGATGACTGCCAAGGAGCAGAGAACCAGGATGGCCAAAGTCTTCATATTTCAGCTTCTTTCTTCAACGTCTGCAGTATGAGGCAGCAAGCAGGACCCGAAGACTTTAACAGCTCTGTCCCTCCTCTCTTTCTCTTACACATATATACATAAATACACTCTCACTTTATAGATGTGGCCCTCACCATGACATTGGGTATGTGATTGGTTAGGGAATCATGTATCACACACCCACACAGATGCAGAGATACACACCTCCACAAAAATCATGTATGCCAAAGCTGATTTTATACATATGTTTGCATCAATGGACACACACTCACGCAAGTAGACACACAAAGAGAGAAGATGCAGAGTTTGCTTCCAAAAGGTGGGTATTTGTTTTGAAGGATAGGTGATGAGAAAACAAATGTGGGTGACTCACAGCTGCATTGGAAGTGTGTTTCAATGAAAAATATTTTACACCTTGTTTAGGTCATTTTAGCTGCTGCTGGGAAACCAGATTGTCTCTGTGAATCATTGCTTGCATTGCCATCTCAGTTTCTTCCTCCACATCTTGTGTAAAGATGAAAGGAAAGTGGTAAAAGTGTATGCTTAAGCACTAAAGAAAGACAAGGGTTGATGGGATTTAGCTGCAGATTTAAGTCACTAACCTATTTACTTGCTGTGAGATTCAGTGATAATAATAAAAAGTTTATTGAAATCTTAGGAATGCAGTGCCAGCTGGCAGCCTGGAGAGGTCAGAGTTTTACAGCGCACCCACACACTTTTACAGTGCATGCGGCAGAGAAAACCATCATGTAACACAAACTGAAGCGGAGAAAACCACCGTCCCACATTATGTGACATGATTTTAATCCGAGGGCTCTCTCTTTTATTACAAGCCGCAGTGATTTCCTACGTAAAGAAAGCAACGTTTAGAAACAAATCCAGTGTGTTTGAAGGGTTTGCAGAAGGGTAATTTGAAATGTGGGAAGATATTTTTACCAAAACAAGTGGGTGGTTTGCCAATAAAGTGGCGGAAAGTGGAGCAGAGTGGAACATGTCATTTCATTTTAATTGAAACACAACTCACCACTAGAAGGGTGTTTTTGTAATCTTTTAAATAATTATTTTATTCTTCCGTATTTTATTAGTTTATTAGAAAGGGACCATTGCTAGTAAAGTTGATACTGAATTACAGTATGTGATGTGCCCTAGCCCTGCTGTTTAAAGCATATTGTTAGATTTCCAAAACCAATTCTTTGAACTCCTTTAATTTATGATTTGTATGTCCTCCCTTTTCCCCCTCCTGCTCTTCTTGTTGCTGTTTTTGACTGGATATTTAGATTCTGGACAGGTCCTGACAGTATTATATGGGGTGTAATTTCACTGTCTGGGTCAATTCTGGTGCCTTGTCTCATTTTGGGGACAGACTTCAAGGATTCAACCTCAGGATAACTTTAATTGTGCACATTTGCGGCCTTGTGGCTACATAGAAAAACAAGCATCCAACATGATGGTCTTTTTAGAACCGTGCCATGCTGACATCTTGTGCTGACCTGTCTTTGTTTGTATGTCTGCCTGCAGCAGCAAGGACACTGACACACAGCTGTGCATTGCTCAGATTCCTCCTGAGATTACATGAAACCAGATCTTGATTACACACACTGAAATCAGTAGTGCTTGCGTACCTCCAGTAATATGTGTCCTCATTTAACCCCTCAGAAGGCCAGTGGTGGACAACAACTAAATACATTTACTCCAGTATTTAAATGCACTGTTGAGGTACATAGATATTGTATTTTTTACTCTGCAACATGTATTTGACAAACATAGTTACTATAGTTACATTGCATATTCATATTTCACATTTAGAACACACATAAGCATAGGATAAAACAGATTTGGAGAGATGAAACCAGTGGTTCTGGATCTTTTTGGTTTGGGATTGTGTAATTTGAGGTCCCTCATCATGATTCAGCTGTCTATGGGTTGTTAGCTGTTCCACCAAAGATACATTTTCTCTCTAGGACTCTTAGATGGTTTCATTTAAACAGTAAAAGTAAAAAAGCCTAATTATAAAAAATGAACAAACATTTTTACAGCTGAATGTTTTTTTCTTCTTTCCTCTCCCATTGATCATCTCACTACCCTCAGATTTAACTTGTGACCCTTTGGAAGGGCCTGTCCTTCTAGACTGGGAACTTCTGGACTAAAGTAGCTAATGGCAGTGGTGGAAGAAGATCCTTTAGTAATACCGCACTGTGAAAATACTCCAACACAAGTGAAGGTCCTGCATTCAGAACCTTGAAGTATTATCAGCAAAATGTAAAAAGTAGCAAAAGTAAAAAGTACTCATAGTAAAATGGTCCCTGTCAGTGTTTTTCTATTGTATGTAATGTTTCTGGATTATTATCACTGCTGCATTAATGTATATGTTGCATTTTACTCGTTTTAACTACTTTACATACTGTTGGGTAGTTAAATCTACAGCAAATCATCATATTCTATAAAGTCAATGTGTTTGCCGTTGCTGTCCTGTGAGAGCCACGTATCTCTAAAAAGTCTTCTTATGAACTCAGAAAAACAGGTCTGTTTTCAGCTTTGTCTTTAATCCAAGAGGGTTTTTAAATAGTTTATTTAACTGAAGATGTAGGGGAATGTTCTCAGCCCGAGAGGGAACACTTAATTCTTCAGTTTATCAGTAAAAATTCACATTCAGAACCAACACATTTGGAGATACATGGTTTTCACTGGACAGGAAGGGTATGAAAAATTGTATATATCTTAAAGTAACTAAAGCTGTACAACAAATATAGAGGAGTAAAAAGTACCATATTTGCCCCTTAGATGTAGTTCAGTAAAAGTATAAAGTTGCATAAAATTGAAATACTCAGTACTTGAGTAACTGTACTTAGTTACATCTACCTCTGGCTAATGGTATAAAAAAGTAAAAGGCTGCTTATGCATTAATGCATTGGTATTAACAATCTAATAATGTCATATTTAAATCACAACTGAAATCCTCTTTTCATGTTAATCTCCTAAAACAAATAAGGACAATATATTCGTTAAACATACCCCTGCTGCACTATTCTTGGTCTAGCCTTTAAAACAGCTGTAGCTGTGAAATTGGCACTAAATGCTAAATGTTCTCAAACACCCATGTGGCAAACAAATGGCATAAACAGGATTAAGACAAAACCCAGTAAAGGGAATTTTATTTTTCAAATCAAAGCAATGGAAATAATCACTGACAGCAGTGCTGGCCTGGATAAATAGGTGGATAATGTGAGAAATGCTTAGTGGATAGTGAGCAAAACTCTTCATTCAAGCACATCACCTAAAGCTCATAAATGCTGGGAAGGTGTGATAATAGTGGATAAAAGTTATCCTGAGATTACACAAGAGATGGGCCATGAATTGCTACATGTGTATAATGATGGGTTGCTGTAACATCTGAGCCATACTGGATACCTCTGTGTTTATAAAATGTTTTCTTCTAGGAGTCATTTTACATACAGAAGAGGCCACAAACTGCATAAATTATATAAAAGTTGTGGAATGAAGGAATGCACATTCATTTCCAGACGATAATGATAATTCTGCATTTGACAGATAGATACTTTGAGTTCAGTATCGACGAGCCCCAGCTGGTCTCTGGGGTTGAGTTCGGGAGGCAAAGTATCTCTGGTAGGCCTGCTGATAGCCGTGGCGATAGGCGTACAAGCGGCAGGGAGAGTAGTCCTCACAGGACTCCGCACGCCTCTCCGCTTGAGACTTCACCGTCCTGGATGAGACAGAGAGGGGAGTGCGGGGGGAGAGAGTGAATACACAGAGGCAGACAGAGATAGTTAGAGGACAGAAGGGTGAGGACAAGGAAGAGAACTGTAATCAGAAACAGATACACAGCAGCCAGTGGCTTTTGTCTTTGTTTTGTTGCTTTTCTTCTTAAATTACTGCCTTTTCCCTCAGCTTCAAGCTCTGCGAGTGCGCTCTCTGGCCTGTTTCTGCGGATTTGTGGTCTTACATATGTAGAAGATACAGGAATGTGCTCTGTATGCATGTCTGCGGCTGTGTATTTTACCTCATGAAGTTGTAATTGTTCCCTCTGGGTGGGCTGTATACGTTGCCCCTCGCTGGTGTGATAAATGAGTTGGCTTGGTTCGGGGACACAAACAAATCTGGAACCACAAAACTTTACTAAACAAAAATCCTTATTTAATACCCATCATGCAACTGATCAGGGTGAAATAAAGGGTGGGGGGTACATTAGTGAATGGTAAAGTGAGGATTAAATCCAAAATACTGTACGACAGAAGCTGTGTCATATTTGTTAGAACTGCATGCATGTTTTTCCATGAACGAGAGACAACATTTAATCACCTTCAATGGATTCTGTGCTTTCATGAGACTCTACGGGAAAAACATGGAATCGGGGTTAATCATAAATGATGAATCACTGTTTAAACTGGATATATTATGTGTTATAAATGAATAATGACTGCTGAATGATGGAAAAGTGATGATGTCTGGGGAGGATCTGTACCATAGCAGACGCAGAGAGAGATGGCAGCGCAGAGTGCCAGAAACTGAAGGAGGCTCCTCATCCTGGGGCTTGTTTATCTGCCGGGCTGATGGAAAAGAGGAGAAGGGTGTTTCAGTGAGTCATGTCAGCACCAAAGTAAGAGTTAGATAGGAAAACAGGGAGAAAAATGAGAGAGAAAGTGGCTGGGATTTTGAAACTGCGGGTAAACAGGACAGAACCACAAGCAGGGATAGATGGCTGAAAGTGGCAAACTCTCCAAATCTGTTTCCTGTGGTTTTGCATATATGAAGACTAGAAGCAGACATATAAACTTGCAATCCTGTCGAAATTCAGCTGTACATGCTGGCAAGCTTCTGCAGAATTTCTGCAAGGGACAAACAAAAACCAGACTTACATTTATATTCATAAAACCAGACCAAAGACCTTCATTGAGATAAACAAGTATCCAAAAGTGTTTTCAATAAGCTGGACTGAAGTCAGTACACAAACTACTGTTCATTAGCTGGAACCTCAACAACCATGACAGAATAGTTACTGTCAACTAATAGAGTCCAAATAGACTTAAGCTTAATGCAGGGAGATAAGTGATCATTATAAAGAGGCAGGTATTCTATTGCACAT